CCCCCCCCCCCCCCCCCGAAAGCCAAAGTTGTGTGTTTAATCAGATGGTTTCTTTCTAAATGTGAGTCATAGGGTCGTAAATTTCTTATGTTATTAATTTTATTTACTCCATGTTCAAAATTACTTGGACTCAGAGCTGTCCTCTGTTCATGTAAAAGATGAACACTACTTATTGTTCATTTATCGCGTTGACTGCCGTAAACATAACAGTTGTAGCCATTCGGACAATGAAACACATAAAATTGATTTATGTGTATAATGACCCCCCATGTTAAGACAAGGTACCGTTGTTGAAAGGCCCCCAAGGTCGCATCTGTATTGATGTTACCTTAGAACACAAGATTGTTGACTAGTTTCACGGAAGACAAGATCCCCCTCTCCCACAGAGAGTTTACTGTGGGTCCCCACATTCACATACGGAACTGGTATATTGGAATTCAGAATAAATTTACCAATCTTTAACATCTTAAAGCTTCGTTGTCACAGTCTGTTTTCGCTAGTTCACCTTCTAAAGGATTAGACCAGCGACTCGGGAACACTGTGCTGTTTCCGTGTGAGAATGAATTGGGTTTCTTGTCTATTTGTATGTGGTTTATCTGAAGATGCAGTCAGCATCTTAGACTATACCAGATAGAAATATTGGATGGTAATTGAATGATGAATGAAGAAATCGAACTCTATCAAAATTTAATGCACAATCTCTCAGAATTTTTCTGAAGGGATTGTAAATAATGAAAAACATGTTAGGAATGCTTGTCAGAGGGTCGAGATCTGAACTCGTGACCTACCGAATATTAAGTAGGCGTGGCTATTACTCGTTTGCAGATATGATTTGAGTTTATTGTGAGGTGAATATTATGTTCAACGGATGCAACTATGAACTGATTCCATGGAGCAGATTCTTGCTTGAGAAGCCAACAGCAGGCTAAGCGAGTCACTAAATTTCCCACCTTTTATGGAACCCAAAGGTCCATTACCGTGTTCACAAAATCCCGCCATCGGTTCTTATCCTGACCCAGATTAATCCAATCCACACCCTCCAAACCTATTTTCTTATGATTTATTTTAATATTATCCTTCGATCTACGTCCCGAGTAGCCTCTTCACTTTACGCTTTCCAAACAAAATTTAGTACGCATTTCTAGTCTCCTTAATACGCGCTACTCCTCCCCCCTTCCAACCCACATCGTTTCCTTGATTTGATTATCGTAATATTTGAGAGAGTTACTCATTGCGTATTTCTCTCCAGTCTTGACATTTCGTGTACGAAGCAGGTTTTTGTTAATCACTACCTTGATGGTGTTCATATTAAATTAATATGAACGAAAGTTAATTTTCGCAGACAGCTTTTAGTTTAGATTCCAAAAAAATTCCTTTCAAGTAATAAGGATGTAGCCGGACAGATGCGAACTGTTCAGATATGCATTTACCTCATGTAAAGAACGCATAATAGACCCTTTTTTTAAAAAAAAAAAAAAGAACTTAAACAAAACAAATGAAGTCTGTTATCCGACGGCGAAAGAAGATTGTTTATTCAGAATGATATTTCCTTCAGAATTAAAATGTTCGTGGACTCAAATATGTCGCTTTTTAAAGAATGCTTTAAAACGTAAAGATTAGATCAGTATAATTGTAAACTCTGAGTGGGTGAGTGGATGTTGTACATGCTGGACCAATGGCTGAAAGGATGAGCGATCAGATTATGCATCGCCTCCACTGGTCCAGTGTAGAAAGAAGTGCTTTTTGTTTGTCTGAAACGTTTTTCTTTTGTATTATTAAATACACCTTTTTCCGTGAGGGTTATCACTACTGACCAGTTCATACATAATCCCGCTTTTTAAAAATATTCTGTTATAATGCATATGAGGTTCAGTTTTTCTAGGAAACATGTGTGACTTACGAAGATGACTGTCTACTTGGATTTTGCGCCGTGTAGTCTGGTAGAAATTTTCCGACGTTTCAGAGTTGATTGTTGTCTCCGTCAACAGGACGATAATGATTGGCGTAGTAAGTAAGCATCTCTGAAACGTTGTATCCAGTTCACAACCCCCGAAATCCTATTTCTAAGACCTGTTGTAATTTATATATTCTAATAATAATTTTAAACAACATTATTTTAAGTTTGTGTATAGACGGAAAATAAAAATATTGTATCAATAAAACACAAACATGACGCAATTAAGATATAAAAAATTTAATATCTATGTTTTTAGACACAAAGGGGCAACCAAAAGATTTTGAATTGAATAGTTTCAAGCATTTCCCAAATTTATCTGACTTTAATCTCTTCGTGAAAGCAAATTTTAATTTGTTACTGTCGATCTATGCAGCACGGAACCCTACAATAAAACTAGTATAAAGATTGCATTTTGAATTTCTTTTTTAAGAAATTAGATTCAGGATCTATACAGGATAAAATACGTAACTGTTTTTTTTTTGAGTTCTTGTACCTAAAGGTCTTCTGTAATATGTGACGTAATCTGACTTATTCGATTTTTAAATTAATTCATAGCCTCAAGTTTTTCATAAAAATTGTATTAATTTAGCTTCATGGACAGGCAGAGGTCAGTTATTGGTAATGAGGAGTGAACTGTGCTTGAAAGCTGTCCTCCAAGCTGGTTCTACCTAAATCTGAAACAGCAACGTCGGGACATCTTAACCAGCCGCGTCTATATTTAGGACATTTACACAGGAAGAAAAAGACTCTCCCTAACTCGCGTCCCCTGCTCTCCCTGACTCCTGGGATAAACCTAGGAGACTGGAGACCCTGGTGGGGTGGAAACTACGACTGGAGGTCACTTAGAGGTCACACATTCTGAACTTAACCTTCCTCTCAATACTAATTTCAAACAATTCTGATAAATTTACGTAATG